TTTAGATGCTCGCCCCGATTAATGGTCAACATGAACTTTGCAGGGAGACATCTGGACGTATTTATCAGGCGGACTAGCTGCCCTCTGAAAGGAAGTGTTGATGAGCTCAATACATAAAAGTTGATTTCCACTGCATCATCTTTGTTTAATTCAGGTATCACTTTTAAAGTGCACAAAAATCAAATAATAAGGCCTTCATCGCAAATTATATTCAGATTCTCCTATTTTCTAAGACAGCTAAATTCAGTCGAGAAACTATAAATCTACAGATTCTTTAAATAGCTGCAGATGAATTCGGTTAATAATTGTCTCATACGCAGCACATACTCGATTCAACAAAATTCAGGTTTGTTGCATATTAATAAATAATCCTTAGATTTTAAGCATGGTGGTTTGCACGGTATTCAAAATAGAGTTTTGTATGATCATTAGTTCTGGAACAGACACTTTTATCTGGAATATCCTCCTAAAGCTGTTAAGAATTTATGATCGGAAAATTTATTCCATTTACCATTCAACAAGCAAATGAGTCATTAGGTCATCGATTTTCTTCAATTTTGTTCCTTCTTTATTTTTCATAGTGCCAGTGGAGGTTATAGGTAGTATTAGGTATCTCCTCCAAAATATGTGAAGAATACTAAGACTTTGAAAATGTCATTTTCAGCTTAGAAGTGGTGATGAAGTGTATTTTAATCAGAAGAGCACTAAATTCTTAAGCAAAGCTTCAACTACCAGAGTGTTCTTAGTCTCTAACCTCATTATTGTTATGGAAGGCATTTTCTTCATGCTTCTTTTAAGGCACTAGTACTTGAACCACTTTCTCTTAATTTTTATATTTTTCTCATACAACAAAAGAATCTATCTATTACTTCAAAGAATTGCATATTTTATTTTGAGTATCCCTACAGGCTCTAAGCAAGAAAATGATCATATTGTGCTCAGATACATTTGCCAATGGATCAACTTGATTCATTTAAAGTAAATATCTTATCTTTGTCTTCTAAATTACCAAGTTCAGAAATAGCATCGTAGTTATAATCATTAAAGGCTGATTTGATACCTGAATGTGGAATTCCTAAAAAGGAAGACCTCTTCAAAGATCTATATTTATCAATATCAATTGTGATGATAATTGTGAATTAATTTAAGGTTTCCTTTTATAAAATGGTTGTTTACTAGGTCCTTTTTATTTAAGGAAACTTCCATGAGTTAAAATAACCTGTAAAAATAATATTATTTTTGACCTAATTTTAGAGTATAACTCCAATTAAATTTAATAGAGCAATAGTTTGTTAAAGGTCGATTTTTATAATCAATTAAAAGATATAACTTTAGTGCAAATAAAATATAGGTTGCAAGCATCGTTGATTGTTGAAAAAATTTACAACTTTATTTTTCATATTTGATATTAGAGACTTTTTTATAATCTTTAATATATTGTTTAATAAATCCTCATAAATGAAACTCTTATAATAATGTAGATAATCAATTAGCTTTTGATTAACAAATATACTCTTAAGCATTGAACTAGTTAGGTTAGAGTATCATTTTAAGAATGTTAGCAAATTGAAATTAAACACGTCATACTTAGATAAGGATATAAAGGGTCTTCTAATCTCAAATTAGAGTTAGAAGGAGAATTTACCTGTGATAAGTTAAATCTTTAAACTCTTAAAATTATTTGATGAAATGAGTTTGTCTTCCTTTGGAAACTCTATGTTTGGCATAATTTATTGGCTTAAATTTGAGATTAAAGTAGCTCTTAGGTTAAAGGACACAAATAATGTAACGAAAGAATAAAAACGTGTAGAGTATTTGAAGGACAAATTCTAAAAAATAGAATGTTAAGAATAGGTAAAATTATCACAATTTTTAATTCAAAGTGATTTTATCTTAATATTCATATCATAAATTTTATTGATTATCAAAATAATGAACTAAATATTAGAAATAAATTAAAAAAATGTCTTCATTAGTAACTTTAAGCAACTATGACATATCAAAGTAATATCTCGTTTCCTGAAAATGATTCAATGCATTTCCTACTTCATTGTTTACTTTAGAATTCGAAATTATTAATTAAATTGGGATGATAATAAATACCATTAAAATTGCAATTTAAATCAAAATAATTATTAATACTTTTTATTAAAAATATTTAATTTGAAATTGCAGATTATTCACATTTTTTATAGCCTTCATAAAGCTCAGATTAAAAAGTTTCATTGGCAAAATTTACAGCGTCAACTTAGTAAAATATTCAAACCATTGCTTGTAATTTTATTGATCTATGTAATAGTTTAAAACAACTTTTTAAAAGTCAAGTTTTGGAAAATTATAGTACAATACAAGATCCAATTGATATCCACAATTTAAATCGATGTATTAATTTTGAATTATATAAATTATTTTAATCAATTAATTATGATCCTTGCTATGATTATAGAGTTTCTAAAATATTAATTTTCTCATGGGTATATGCTTGACTCAGTGGAATTAGATAAATAAATTTAAACTTACAACTTTAAAGCAGACATGAATGAGTATAATATAGATACTTGTTTTGATTATGGATTGTGGAGTCGATATACTCCTCTCAGTAACATAAATCAACTTGGACTAGTGGGTATTTTTGATAGTAATTGTTTTCACCTTCACAGCGCCTTAGAATATTCAAATGAAAGGTTGAATTTCATATTTTATGATTGTGTTGATTATGACACAAAGACAATCTAAAGGAATATTTAATTTATTAGTGATGATAATAAGCTCTATAAATATGAAATTTCAATAGATAAGTAAGAATACGAATTTTATTGGCATTATTTTACAATTATTGTATGGCCATAATAAAAAAAAATGGAGCTAATATTAGTTTAATACCCTGTAATATTATTTTAAGAAACAATAAGTATTTCATTTCCATTTATTGACGTAAATTTAATATTGAGATTTGGGGGTGGATTAATTGTAAATGACTCAAAAGACCAGGTTCTATAATTGGATACAAAGTAATTTTCATATTTACCAGGAATTATGTATTTGCATCCTTTAGGTATACAAGATGAGAAATTTGGTTTGAAGTTTGTTTATGCGGCAATAGATTTATTCGATTACTCTTATACATCAATTTGCTTTTGCAGTATGAACACAAATATAAACTTATAAGATTAAGATATGTCTTGGTTAGATCATAATTTATTCGCCTCCTAATAAAAGAATTGCGATTCTTTTGTTTTATCTACTTGGATTAAAATAGATAAAATATTTTTCGCTGATTAGGACTTTTTATACTAATTTATAAAAATTTCAGCTAATTTTGAAAATACTTAGTTAACAAATGAAAATTTATCACCTTTTCAACTCTTTTATAAGATTTCTTCCTTATAGAATCAATTAATATTTACCACATATAGCTTTACATTTCCATCAGTTTCAATAGATTTTATTAAAGAAAGTTTTTTAATTAAGAAAGAGTTTGATATATTAAATGAAATTAATAGATGGCAATATTTGCTAGTTTATTTAAAGGAAAATGAAATGTCAATATCATTAACTTTTTATTAAGATTCTCAACAACATAACTATAAAGCCGATGTTTAAGTGAATTAATTTCATTTCATTCAATTTAAGCTACAATACGGAAACATTCTCCAATAGACTTCAAACTATTTAGACATAAAGATTAGAGATATGAAATTTCTAAATTGTTTAGATACAGATATGCCTTTAAGAAAGTGTCATTATAGTTGCAAAGATTGTGATGGACCGACAAATAATGATTGCTTATCATGTTCAGAGTAATCTAAGAGGATTTATCTACCAGAATATAGATCCTGCATCTGCCCTTATGATTTGATTGACACTTAAGAATGCAAGGATTATGAAGATTTACATCTTTAATTATAGTCTAATGATGATTATGAATAAAAATGCCAATATGGATATTTTGAAGTAAAAGATACTTGCCTAAAATGGTAAATATAACACTATTTATAGTCCTTCAATTATAAAGCATAACTTGATCACTTGTTTAGAATGTATAGAAAATTCTTAAACTTGGAGTTTGGATCCTTATTGCTTTACTAATTTATATTTAGATGACACAGGAAGCCCAGTATAGTATTTTGAGGATATTAGTAAGACTTATTACATATATGATGATGTTGATTTAAATACATGCCATTCTTGTTAGTCTGAATTTATGAATGACATAGATTTCATTTATAATTTTTATGTATCCTTGAATCAAAAAGAGGTTCTTTTATTTTGCAATCAATAAACAACAACAAAGTGTATTTACTGTAATTTTATAAATTGCAATTAATGTGGAATTTCATTAACAGGAATTATTTGTTTGTATTGCAAGGGTCCAGGAGAAAAGATTGATGGACTTTGTATCTTAACTCGACCAGGTTATAAGAAAGATAAGATTTGTCAGAGTCCTTATTATGTAACATCCCAAAAATAATGTGACTTATGCCCTATTGACAACTGTGTATATTGTTTTGAATACTACAATAATGATCTTTCTAAAAGTACACTTTATAATGATTTTGCTACTTTTCCTATAAATGAATTTCATAAAATCGGTTGTGCTCTATGTAATTCTGGATATAGATTTGATTTTACAACCGAAAAATGCATTTATCAACAGCCATCCATTCAAAATTGTTTAAGATCATTTATAAACATGGATAGTTAGGAAGTTTGCACCTTATCTTAAGTTGAAGATTTTAAAATTGCTCCTGAAATTTTCAATTGTTAACACCATATTCCTAACTGTATCTAATGTCTATTAACTCCTCTGCAAGTTTTGATTTGCACACTCTGTGATCCCGGATATCAAACTGATTCAATGACCGGTCATTGTAAAATATGCGACATTGAACATGCAGTAATATGTATGGAAACCAATTTAGGATTAGAAAATAGTTGGAATTAACTAATAAAAAGCTTTATACTACAATTCTTATCTGATAAGTATTATTACCCCTTTTCAGTTTCGTATGATACAATTACTGTGGCATTAAAGTGTAAGAATGGTTTTCAAACCTTCACGAAATCTCTTTCAGCATGTTTAGAATATTGTGATTCCAGTTGTTTAGAGTGCGTCGAAAATTAATAATAATATAGTTTTGTATGTGGAAAATGTTAACGAAATTATTATTAACAGCCTATACTAGTGGAAAACAAAGGTAAATGTCAAGTCTGTCCTCCATTGTGTGAAATTTGCAAACCTAGATCAACAATTGAAATTTAAGTATTTAATTGTCAATTATAATATAGACTATAAACTCTAATTATTAAATAACCGATTCTAATGCCATTTATACTTACCAATGCATCAAACCTGTTTCAAATCCAAATATAAGAATTAATCCCTAATTAAAGGTTGCACAATATTGTTTTTAAGAAAATTGCAAATACAGCTTATTATATGAAGTAATTAAACTTGTTTTATTAGATCCTTTAAACAAGTAATTATGATGATATAGACACGTTCATTCCTATTTCTCCTAAGTATTTTGAAAATTAAGTAAATGTAGAATTTTGTAACCGAATTGGTCTACAAAAGTTAATCATACATCATAAACATTTAATAGAAAGCGATACTCCTAATTTAAACCAAATTCAACCAGATTTTTTACAGAATGAGTTTAAAAACAATATCTTTACTTTATAGCAAGTACATCTAATTTATTAAGGCTATGATAAATCTGCAAATAATTATTTGCCTCTAGTATTAATATAGAACTTTGATAAAGTGGAGATTCTGAGAATGAATTTTATCATTACAAATGAATTTAAATTACATCTTCTTAATAACAATAATTTTATTGATGTGAAATTTATTGATATTATTATAACTCAAAAAGAACAGAGCGGGGCAAAATTAGCAATTACCTCGACTGGCTTTAAAAACTTTGAATTTTAGAATGTATCAATACAGAACTACGATGTATCAGATTCAATTGTATTTGATATGAAATTAGAATCAAAAGGGGAAGATGTTATTATTAATAATTTTTCAATTGTCAATTGCACAATCTTCAATTCAGTTATATTCAATTTTGCTAACAATACAAGAAAGATAATAATGGAAAATTTAATATTGTAATCCTCTTAATTTGTTAATTCTAACTTTATAAATTTTACTCTCTTGCTATAGGATAATGTAGAGATAAGAATTAAAAATGTCTAAATTAACCATTGTAACTTTAATAACTTTAATTTTTTATATAGCTTCGGATCCTCTAAATTTGATATCCAAAATTTATCATTCCACTATAATACATTTTAAGAATCGACTTTTTTTATTATATTTTCATAAATTATGCTGAAGGATGTATTTTTAATGAATAACAAATTTACTAATGGGTCGTTTCTGATTGCTGACTATTAATTAGCGCAATTTGTTTATTCATCAATAGAAAATATCATTGTAGGTCAAAATCAATTGGCCAATTTCAGTTTTTTAATATTATTTTCAAATTGCTAAACAAATAATGCCTGGAATTTAAAAAACTTTGTTTTTTTTGAGAATATTAAATCAAGTATTGTATAATAATTCCTATTCAACATTAGTTGCTAAACTTCACTGTAAGTTTCTGGTTTAATCATCAAAAATTAAATTAGCTTTCCCTATTTTTATTTATTAGATATTTAAAGCATTCTAATCTCTAATGTAACTTATACTAATGATATTTAAAAGGAGAAGATACCTTCATCATTAAATTGTTTTCACGACAATTATGGTTAATATAATCCATAATTAATACAAATCTATGGTTTAGTCAATGTAGAAATTAGATATGTCAATATTTCTAATCAATTTAGTATTGATTAATCCCTCATCTTAATATAAACAAATATATTCTTTTAGTCTGGTAAAATTGAGAAAATAGAAATCTCAGACATATGCTTTTTTGGTAACATTTTGTTAAAGAGAAGTCTTGGAAATTTTTTGTCGTAAATTACAATATACTCAGAAAAGTAATAAGAAATAAGTTTAAGAAATGTCATTTTTAAAGAAAACTCCTAAAATTAATATATTGATGATCCAAATTTGTCTTCAACAACCCTTCTTTACATTAATTCTTAATAAAGTAATGTAATAATAACTAATATCTCATGCTTTAATAATGCTTTAACAAATTCATCTTCCTCTTTTATTTTCATTTCTGCTTATTCTATATAATTTAATCAGGTGTATGTTTATGGTCATAATAAGTAAAGCTATTCAATTTGGACCAAATATTATGACCTAGTAATTTTAAGTATTGAATACTAGAATAAAATAAATTTAGTAATATAACAGACATTTCCGATTAAAACCAAAGGTGGGGTTTTTTCATTAATTGCTACTAAATACACTCTTTTTGATGGTACTTTTCTTGATATTTATGCTGAGAGTAGTAGTGTATTAGCACTAAAAACTTAAGGTTAAGGATAGGTAAGTTTGTAAAATGTTGAATTTGTTTCTGTTTAAACTACTTTTTCATAGATAGGAAACACAGATGGATGTCTTAGTATTTAGTCTCAAAACAGTCTATTATTACTTACCTTAACTAATATAACTTTTAATTCAGTCTAAAATGTTTTATCATCATCAATATTGACAATTTACCCTTCTTTTAATTAGAATTACATTAAATTGGAAAATATAAAAGTAATAAATTGTTTTTCTTTGATGGATTAAATAATGAAGGTGGAATTTCAACACACCACTCCTAAGAAAAATTAAGTAATTATAAAAAATTTGATGGTGGAATAGAATGAGCCTAATTTTTTTAGCTATCTTGAAAATTTAAGTCCTTTGACTTCTTTAGAAGTTAAGAAAATTGCAAATGATAATACTTTGATTTAATTTACTAGTTGCCAAATATCATTCACATCAATTACAATAACTGGAATTTATAGTTCCTCCTTAATTAAGATTAGTGATTGTCCTATCATATTCCTATCAAATATATTTCTCCATAACATTAAATTGTTGAATTTTTTTAATTTGCTCTACATTGGGTAAATTTCTTCGATAACTAATACTGTTATAATATTTGACATTATTATTTAAACTTTGGATTATTATTAGGTAAATAATCAGTCTATAGCCGAATAATCTAATTTTGCTATTAAATTTTAAAAGTAATTCTGCTATCAGGATAGTTCATGGACAGATTAGGTTTATACGTCAAATACCCTAAACGTCAAATCCTTCTTAAGTGATTTATAAGCAGTTTCATTGGAAGTAGGATCACTGTTCTACTATAACAGCATCTCTCATAAGAATTTATTATCAATCTCTTAAATTTAAATTATGAATGTAGAGTGTAAATAATGCTTAAATGGATTAATTTATTTTGATTTAACTGATTTCTTAAGAATATTTATTTAAGAAGTATTTTGTTATTCAAATAATATACTTAATTCTGGATGCTTTGTTGTGAAATCACAGATTAATCAAAGTAATTTATTAACTATAAAATAATCCGAGTTTATTTTGAATAAAGGCTAAAATGGAGTGGCGATTAATGCTTAGAATTTGAGAATTGTTATGAACAAATGTAGATTTTTTAATAATTCAGCTTCGAATTTTGGAGGAGCTATATACCTATTGTAGAACAATGAATACTTTCTTTTCAATCAAACTTTAATTTCTAACAATAAAGCCAAGGAAGCAGGCGGCCTATATCTTTAAGGGAATAGCAGTTTAAATTAATCAAATTTTATTAATTCTCTCTTATCCTTAAATAAAGCTGATCTGTACTCTAATAATCTTTAAGCCATTCCAGTTAGTCTAGAATTATCTATAAATCAAGTTTAAATGTATTCAATCTAAAACAATATTTCTGAAAAATAGTTAGCTTTAAAACCCTATAAAATGATTGAGTAAGGTTAAATAATTTTAGCAAAATAATTAAAACTACCCAGCAACCAAAAGATAATCAATTACAAAATTTATAATACAGTTTAATTAAAATTTGTGGATTATTTAACAGAATTTTCATTATCTTTGAGGAATATCTTTAATGAATAACTTCCAAATATTATTAATCATACTTGCGAAATTCACCAATAAGACTTTGAATAAAATTAACCTACTAAATTAATTAGTTCATTATCATTTAATCCAAATACAAATAATTTTGATCTCGGATCTTTGTCATTAAGCATTGATCCTTATTAATAAAAAGGTGAGATTAATCGAATTTTAATTTTTTGTTAATCTTAATATTAAAAGTTATCATTATCATATAATTTTGTTGTATAACCATTAAAATGTTAACTAGGAGAATTTTATGTTGATTTTGGTTGCTAACTATGTGAACCAAATTAAGGATTTTATTCCGTATCATATAATACTACAAAGTGTTCTATTTTTGATCCAACTAAATTTGTATCAATTACATCAAATTTAATTAATCTCAAAAAAGGCTATTGGAGACCAACTTTTGAATCAGATATTATTGAATATTGTTTTAAAAATGAACAGCACTGCATAGGGGGATGGTTGGTCGGGAATTTAATATGCAATATTGGATATTTGGGAGGCTTATGTGAAGAATGTGACAAATATAACATAAGAGGACAAGGAGAATATTTTAAATAGAACTAATAAACTATTTGTTAAATTTGCGGTGAATATTCACAAACTTTAGCTCCATTTATTCTAACTTCAACATGGTAAAAAAATATATTTATTCTTAGGGCCATCTTGTCTATTCTACTCACTCTGAAGAGCATTAACAATTCAAATAAACTATTTTAGTCATTAAAGCTAAGGTAAAAGTTTGCAAAAATCCTTTTTAAACTCAATCAAGGTATCAATAAATCATATTTTAAGATCATGAAAGTATACAAATTAAACTCTTTTTAAACTATTTATGGATATTTTCTGCTATATTTACTTTTAACATCAATTTTGCATTTTCTTTCGGCTTCATTAATTCAACTAGCAATCCTTCTTATTTCATGGCTAATACGCTTGATTGCTATTTATCATAGTTCTCAAAATATGAATTAATATACATTAGGATACTAGCCATGATAATACTACTTGGATGTTAGTTATTGCTAATTTACATTGGATTTAAAATTCATGCCATGATTACAAAATGCAAGCTCGACTCCAGCATTTTTTCGATAACGATTGTCTATTTATATGTGTCGAATTATGCTGCTTTATTAACATAGTATTATTAATATTAAATTTAGATTTTGTTCAGTTTTAGCCAAAAGAACAATATCCAAAATTGATTATATCCAAGGAGATTTAACCCTTCTCTATGGATCCTAATCTCATTACTTATGGACTTTTAGTTTCATTTTACCAGGATTGGGCTTGATTGGATTTTTTTTCCCCTTCGCTGTATTTTTCTTCTTGTACCTTAAAAGAGGCGAACTAGATTAAATCCAGTTTAGAAAGCATCTTTGTTATCTCTTCAATGAATATAATGATAATAATTATTTTTGGGAATGGATTAAACTATGGAAAAAAAGCATTTTCATTTTTATAATGATATATTTTGAATCTGACATAAATTTGAAGGCTTCTTTATTAGGGCTATGCTTATTAAGTTATCAATTATTAGCCATGAGAAACAAACCATTCATTATTGAAAGTTTTAATGCTCTAGATATATAAGCAGGATAAATCTGTTTAATTTCACTATTTTTAGCAGCCGTTAAATATATAAGTGAATAGAAAAATAATAGCGTTTCAGCAATAATTTTATAATTATTGATTATATTGCTGTGCATAAAATTATGCTATCCATTTCTCTCTAATATTACTAAGGTTTATATCAAAAAATATAAAATGACCTTAATTATTTTATTTCATAAGATCTTCAATTTTATTAAGAAGAATTCAGCCATCACTCTATATTTAGGCAATAAAATAAATTAATAAAAGTAACGTGAATAAACTCTGAGAAGAAACTTTAACAAATTGCATTAGTATCTTATGACAATTTCCAAAAACTAAACCGACTTTTAAAAAAAGTATTTGATCTTTAAAATTATATAGATCCTTGCTTACTTTAGTAACTTCTTAAAGCTAGATAAAATTTTGATTGAAATGAGCAAATAATGAGATATATAGATGATGTTTTTTAATTATAATAAAAATAAAAAAAGTTAGTGAGAAAAACATTTAATCGTATCGTCATTCTTATTTCTTCTTGAATTGCAAGCCTAAAAATTATATTAGAATTTTCAGCTAAATTAGATAAATGTAGCTTTTGTAGCCAAACAAAATTTATCTTTATAATCTCAGTTAAAAGTTTCTTTAATTAAATTATATAATTTTATTTTCAATGTTCTTAATGACTCTCTTGAATTTTTTCAAGTTTACTTAAATTGACTTCTACCCATTCACCAACTTTATTCCCATTTTCATATTCTCCTTTATAAATAATTTAAGATAAATTGTTGAAATATTTGGCTATCTCTATCCACTAACCAATTTTAAAACCATTAGCTTCCTCATCAAACATTCCACCACCACTAAATATAAGTCATGTTAAATATTACATTTAATTTCCCTAATGTTGAATTATCTATTTACCATACCTTTTACCAAATTTGTATTCGCCATAAATTATTATTTATGAATCTCTTGAATATTTATTTCCCTACTCTATCCATTATCCAATCTTAAAACCATTACCTATTTCATCGTAAGTTCCTCCTCCACTTCAATTATATAGTAAATATTTACATCTAGTTATTCAGTTTAGTACGATCATCTCTATACCAAATATCCCATCTTCCTACCTTGTAACCGTTTTTATATTCACCACTAAAATATACTTAAGAATCATTATTGAACTCTTCACTAAGCTCAACCCAACTTCCGGTTTTTAATCCATTTCCTTCACCGTCGTATTATCCACCACCCCTATTGATTTATCTTTGATTAATATTATACAATTCTTGAAAATTAATCATTCCATAATCCTTATATAATATATCCCACTTATTGACTTTTTTACCATGTTTATATTCCCCACAGTAAGTAACTTAAGAGTCATATCTAAAATTATCACATAGAGCAACCCACTTTCCAATCTTAATTCCTCCAAATTCTATATCATATGAACCACCACCACTAATCTTATTGAATATAATTTACATCAATTATTTATTCTTTGAAATATAATCAGTAAACCAAATATCCCATCTGCCAATTTTCTTACCATTTTAATACTTACCAACGTAAGTAACTTAGGAACATGTTTCAAAATCTTCACTTAACTCAATCCACTCTCCATTCTTAATATCAGCATCTCCTTCTTTATATATTCCACCACCACTTAAATAAATACATTCGAATATTACATTTAATTTCCTTCATATTTAATATCCCATCTACCAACTTTTTAACCATTATTGTATTCACCAATAGAAATCACCTGCTAATCTTTCCAAAATCTTTCACTCAATTCAATCCATTTTCCTATCTTTATTCCATTACTTCCCTAATCATAATATCCACCAGCTCTAAATTTTTTATTTAAATCTACTTACATTTTTTATAAAGGTGTCGAATAATTATATCTGAAATAAGTGTCCCATTTACCAACTTTATTACTGCCTTTATACTCACCTATATAAGTGACTTAAGAATCACAGCTAAATCTATCACTCAATTCAATCCACTTCCCAATTTTCATCCCACCTACTTACTAATCATACTCTCCGCCCCCACTATTAGTGTGTTCATTAATAAATGTTGTACATCTTTTAATCAATTTATGAATTATAATCCTTATACCAAATTTCCCAATTTCCAATCTTTTTATTTTAATGATATTCACCCTTATAAGTAACTTAGGAATACTCTTGGAATCTATCATTCAATTCAACCCACTTTCCTTTCTTAATGTTGGCTTTCCCGTATTCATAAATACCACCACCACTAAAAATTTATCTAACTTAATCTTACATTTATTAAAATGGCATGATGTCATTAAATCTATATTCAATATCCCATTTTCCAACTTTATTACCATTTTCATATTGGCCGCTAAAAATTATTTAAGATTTTTCGTGAAATCCATCGCTCAACTCAATCCATCTTCCTGTTTTTAGACCTTAACCCTCATAAAGCCCTCCTCCACTAAACTTCCAAAATATAATTACATAATTTAATTCCTAAAAATAAACTTCCAATGTCCAATTCTTGTATCTTTATCGTAATGTCCTACTTCAAATGCATTTTTGCCACTAATTATTATTTACTTAAATCATACTCCCAAAAATTGTTGCTTATATCAATCCACTTTCCATCCTTTTATCCTTATTAATTGCATACACCTCCTCCTACTTATTCTTACTTCCAATATATGTTCCATTATTTGAAATTTTATCCATATAACTCAGGAGATTCTCTAAAATTTAAGTATTTTATTTATTCTAAATTATTTAATACTACTTCATTTTCCTAAAATTCCTTATATTAATATCTAAAATCGTATTATAAAGTCTTACTTTCTAATTATTTCGCCATCGCTAAGATAATTTTAATCACCATTACTTTATATTATCATTTTTAAATTAGTTTTCTCTAATTGATCTTTAACTTTCTTTAAACCCTCTAATTCATATATTCTTTAATTTATTTTGTTATTTGTTCTTAAAATATTGAGAAATCTTACAAATTCTTGGAAATTAATTCAAGTAGGTGATTTATTTTACCAATATTCAAGGTTTGCCTTTCAATTGTATGTATAACTTTTTTGGTTTAAGATATTGCTTGTTATTTTGTTTAGATCCATTCCTCAAAAATATTGCCATCTAAAAATCTTATAAGAAAATCTAATTCCAAGGGAGAGCACTCTAATAGATTTTAATTATATTAATTGAGCTTAAGAAATCTCTCATCCTCCATTTTACAAGTTTTTGAGATCATATTAATATATTCTCTCATTTTAGAAATAAGTAAAGCAATTTATTCTTAAATTGCATCAAGTTTATCAAGAAATTCTATAAAAATTTATTTGCATTCAGTTTAGCCTATTTTTTCAACTAAATTGTGTTGACTTGATTTTTAAAAGAGTTTTTCAACTAAATTTTCCTTTTCTAACACCTAATCTTAAGGAATGTTGAATTATTAAATGCATTCAATGCATACCTTTGTTGGGAATTTAAAGTTTGGTCTGGCTCTTAAAACACCACAAAAAGAGACATTTGAATGATTTTTACAGAAGTTGTTAATTAAATTCATTTATATATTATGATAGGTTCCCAATGAAAAATTAATAAACAAAAATAGGAATACCCAAATAAGTACGCTTGGCAAATCTTAATTTTAAGATACAACTTGATTTTGTATTTAGAATGTGGTTAATTTAGATGATCCATGCTTTACTCTGTTATTGCTTCTGATTCAATTAGTTCCAAAATTAAATAAGAAATTTCAAAGTGGAAAAAAGAGATGTCTATATTATTTTTTATTTATTTAAATTAAAATAATCTTCCAATAGTTAATAGCTAAGTTGTATTTTATATAATTGGTGTGCAATATTAATCCATAGTAAAAGTTTGAATAAAAATATAAGAAATAATAAATTGAGAATAAGTTTCTAAACTGAGTAAAATTGATTGAATCTAGACAAGAAGTTAGACTAATAGAATAGCCTAATTTCAAAATCTAAATGTTATAAAATTTTATAATCTATTTGAAAATTAATATAAATTTAAACTAATTATTAATTAAATGCTAATATTATTGTTCATAATATCAAATTTTATTAGATATCTCATCTTTAAGCTTTTATATAATTGATAATATCTATTTAGGAGTATCCTATTTCTATCATATAATATTTAGCCATTGCTAATCTATTCACTTAAAATAAAGAAAGAACTAAGGTTATCAAAAGTAATAGAAACCTTTTTATTTTTGAAAATTGATATTTTTTGGTGATATTTCCAATGCTTTGTCGAATAGAGTTATTGCTTGCTGATGCAATTGTTAAGATGATAATGAAATGCCTAATATTGAATATATAGATCAAAGTTACCTTTATTAAAATAAGCCTTAGCATATTTAGAATCAATTGAAATGGCTTTATTAAAGCATTCTATGGCTTCTTCAAATCTAGATAACCTATTTAATAGAATTCCTAATATTGAAATCAGGTTAACCTTTGTTGTAATATGCTTTCTTATAATTTGGATTTAGCAGAAGGGCTTTGTTAAATTATTCAGCTGCTTCGTCATTACGGAAGAGTTAAAATAATGCCAATCCTAAAAATAGTTCAAAATCAACCTTTATTTAAAAATACTTTTTCACTTTTAGAATTGATTTTTAAGGCTTAATCAAAGGTTTAAATTGCTGAAACATATTAATTTAGCTAAGTTAAGGTAATCCCTTAAATTTGATTTTTAAATACCTTTATTAGTTAAAGCGATATCACTATTTGGGTTAATTTGGATTGCCTTATTTAAAGATTCTAAAGATTCTTAATAACGATCTAAAATTCTTAATAGGGAGCCTATTTATTTATCAGTATTAAACCTTTACTATAATGTGCTTAATCGGAATGAGGATTCAATTCGAGGGCTTTATCATAACATTCCAGAGATTGATCATATAGACCTAAATTTTCCAAAGTGCAACCAAATAATCATAATCTGAAATACCTTTATTAAGAAAAGCTTTCCAATTAGAGGGATTAAGCTAAATAGCTTTATTAAAACTGTTTAATGCTTCTTCATATTTATGTTGTTTGTTTAATGTAATTCCTAAATAATTTTTCAATTTTTATACCTATATTATTATATACTTGGTCATTATTTGGCTATAAGAGTATAGTTTATTCAAAATATCGTACTGCTTCTTGATATTAATTTAATCTTAATAGTAATAATCCTAAATGATTCTTAATAAAATACCTTTATTATTTAAAGCAGGAAAATAATTAGAATTTATTTTAATTACTTCATCATACATTTCAATAGCTTCCTTATAATTATGAAGTCGTGCTAATTGTAAACCTAATTTATACGTTTTGATACCTTTATTAAAATACTCTTAATATGATTTGTCTCTTACTTAAAGATCTTCTTTCACTTTTGATTACCCAAATTGGTTATGAGAAATATTACTCTTATTCAAATTATCAAAATTAGATTATTTTTCTGAACTATCATCTACAGAATCAAGCGCAATCTTTTTGATCGCTGTATGCTTTAGATCATTTGTTATTATGATCTCATGTTAATCTAAATCAATTGAGAATTCAATTACTTTTATCATTAATTTCTAATTCAATTTATTTTATTTTTGTCTTCTTGTTAAAATCATATATTTCTGTATTGATATTTTGTATCTATTGGCCTTCCTCCTCATATATCTTTCTGTATTATCTGATATAACCAATATATTGAGAAATTTCTAATGGAGATTTATTAAATATTTTTTTTTCAATTTCTAAGATTATTACTGAATTGGGATCATATTACCTAAATTATTGATAAATTGACAAAGTACAATTAATTAGTTTCAATTCCATTAGTAGTATTGAAGCGAATTTTAAAATAATTCATCACTTTTTAAATTTCATCAATGCTTAAGCAATCATTTAAATGATCATAATGTTTAGCGAGTACACATTCATAGCACAGTTCATTAAATTAACATTCAACATTCAGACAATATCCAATAACACTGACATTTTGGTGTTCACATTATTAAACTTTGATGTACATTTAAATTAAAATAATTAAATTTCTTATAAACTTTATATTTTTCCCTAAATATTGTGATGATATACTAAAATATGCTTTGGATAACTATGAACATTCACAGTTTGAATGTTTCTACCTAAAATTAATACTATGGAATTTTATTATCTTAATTACTAAAAATGGAAAAAATCAATAAAATTACTACATTTTAAAAAGAAAAAAAATAAAAATATACAAGCTTTATTCACTTGAATTCAAAAATTTAATAAAGAAATGTTGTTAACTTTCATTAAATGAGAAATTTTATTAGATAATTCTCAAGTTATTTTCCATCGATTTTGAAATGTGAAAATTTATTATTTTCAAATAATTTTTGACATCCTAGAATTTAAGTTTAGAATCTAGATCATAGTTGACATCTCAATAATTGGAGAGAGACAATACATTTTGGTTTTGATATTTATAGAAAAAAACCAAATTAAATGATCTCACTACTTATAATCTTATTATTGCACTTCATACTTTACATATTTTCCAGCTTGTTATACTTCTATTTTATAACTTATTGCAATGTGAGAATAAAGCTAGAAATTAATTCTACTACAATTTACATCAACATTAGAATATTGAATCCATAGTAGAAAATATATATCATAATTTAGAAGCATCAAAATACTATGTGATATTCACATTAAGACTAGATGCTAATTTGTTAAGGTAATTTGTATTAGATTAAATCTAATATATCTATATCTATTTTAAAAACTAAGATACATATTAGTATTTAGATCAAAAACATTTGAATATTTAAAATAATGATTTAAAAACTATGAAGAAAACAAATTTGCCAAGCAAACTACAGCAATTAAATAAGACTTTAATGATTTAATTGCAAAATGAAAAGTGGAATTTATGGAGTTTATGTTGGTGTTGATAACCTCATTTTATAAAGTAAATATCTAGAGTTTTATGCCTATGATCGATATTGATTATAAAAAGTGCAAATCTTTTTATGCTGTCTGATGGATATTCAATAATTTTTTTGGCCATATAACTAATTGAATGTTGCAATTAAATATAATGTTAATTTAGCAAAAATTTAGAAAATCAAGCATCTCAACCCTCAGCTTATAATCTAAAATGTGTTACTTAACTTTGAATAATGAATAATTATTTCCAAGAAAAAGAAATTGAATAAAATTATAATAATCAAAAGAAACAAAAAGTATAAATTTTTTAAATGTTATTTTCAGATTAATAACATTAGACCAGGCTATTTCTGCAAGTTATTTTGATTCTACGTACTCTTATTTTAATTCTAGAAACGAGCAGCATTTTATTTATTTTAAATTAAAGACTTCTGAATGATCTAATTCTTTAAGATTATTAAGTCATGACTATAAAAGAGTCAACACATTAATAATCCCTCTAAGGAGTAACTTATGATATCTCATATATTTAACTCCATAATTTTATTCATTAACATTTTACTGCTTTATATTAATAAAATATTTACAAAAAACCATAAATTTTATACTGGAAATGAACTCTAAGAATTAGATAGGTAATATCTTTATAGAGTATAAAAATGATTTAAAAAGTAAAGAACTTTGAATCAATTTAAGAGAAACCAGAATAATAAATTTCGTCAACAAAATGTTAATGTAAATATTTTTAAACTAATTTAATAATATAATTTAGCTCTGTTTATGATATAGTAAATACATTCTTCTTCTTTAATAAAAATATACGAATTAATTGCATTTTTTTTCAAAGTTCACATGTGCATCAAAACATTTTTGAGAATGTTAATATGGTATTATCTTAAAATCAAAAAATTTGAAAAAAAAGGGAGTAATTCATATTATATAAATAAGCGAGTGTAATCTCCTTCATCATTGTAATTTGTAAATCTAAAGACGTTTCTGCTTAAACCAATTTATGATGAATATTACAATAAGAATTACAATAATAAATATATTAATTCTTTAGAGATGAAATGGAACAGTTGCTTTTTATGTGCTATTTTATTATTGTACAAAATTTAATTAGTAGTTAACACACCTTGTAACAGAAGAGAAGCAAAATTAAAATCAATAATTAGGGGTAAATATAAAAACGTGATAAACTATAACATGGGAACATTAATTTCATCCAAATAATAAAATGGATTTGCTGTAGGCATTTACGGCAGTTGTTTACGTGATAATATTTATACTATTACCGGAGGATATGGATTTACATCAAGTGCAATAGGAAATTCAATAATATTCGATTTATAAGAATAATACGAATTAAACACTTTAAAAATATGGCTTTGGGACTAATCCTACAGATTCTATCGAATACAAATTTATTTAATATATCAACAAGTAGAAACCATAATCTATGAGAGCAATTTTGCTTAAAGTATAACTACTATAACTTTTCCTGTCTAATCTGTTTAAGGATTTAAAGTATACAATCTTAATGGAAATACTCAAAATACTGGGCTTTTTATAATCAAAGCAGAAGCTTATTTTAAGCTACAAACAAATATTTGAAACTAATTGATATTATATATATGAGTTAAAAAGTTATGTATTTTCAATAATCAACATATTACATAGTTTTAGGCTGAAAAATGGACATTAAATTTAAGCTTTATCCTTTTGATTGACTAAAGCATTTTTAACTACTTTTATTATACTCTTAAAAGCGAGATTAAAAATTAACCAAAGAAATCCATACTCAATTGCACAACCAAAATTATATATTTTAAAGTCCCGATATTGTGGTCAAGTCAAATTTTTTTGAATATTTAACTCAAATAATAACTTTTAAATAACATAACTATAAATTCAAATTAAAAAGACTCCATAATCTCCATAATCTCTTCTTGCTAGATTTCAACTTTAGTTTTTACTAAATAAAGCATAATTATTTCAGTCTTCCTAATATCTAAGCTCGAGTTTCTGGGAAAATTTTGGAAATCCAATACTAGCAGGACTTAAATATATCAAATCATGATTTTTTAGAAATTATTATCCTGCGCATCTTTGAATGCTTTTGTTAACTTATTTTAATAAAAAACTCAATAAATTAAATATTCACCATACTCTATTTAGATAGAATTTCACTGACATAATAAAATCATTTAACTTCTAAGATCTGAAATTAAATAGTTTCAGATCTTAGAAGTTAAATTATTATTTAAAATCACTTGCATCAATATATAAACTAATATGATAATTCTCAAATTTTGAATAAAAGCCATCTTACTAAGTTTTTGCATTTGATTATTGCAAAGGGATAGCTTTGTAATTGATATTGTTTTTTGAATTATAAGAATCTTTGACTGAATGTTTCTTAAAATCTCGAAGCCAATTTATATTTTATTTAATTCTCTTCGAATGTATCGAAAAAGTAAGAAACCTCTAAGAATTAAATCTATTTATCCTTTAAAATTCATAACAAAGCCTAGGAAATCATTGTATAGAAAGTATACAACTTTCGATGAGATTAGTCTTTAGAAAAATGCAATTACACAATAATTTAAATGAAGAGTCTATTAATTAGAATTGTATACAACAGATATCCTCCCATTTATGCTGCTAATGACTTTGTTGCTAAAGATTTATTTTATTAATTTACTATTTTGTTAAGTTAATTTTTGCTTTTTCAATATTTAAGTATTCTTTATCAATAGATATTTTGGATTTCTTATATGACCCTAAAATTGACTAATGTCTTTAATGATTTTGCGACAATAATGTATTAAGGTTGAATTTTTAAATTATTTTATAATCTTTGAATCTTAAAAATATATAAATTTTCATGATTATATTAGATTTCAATTGAATAAGTTTATTTAATTAAAATTATTTTATTCATGAATTAAAAAAGGAGATATTTTTTATATAAATAACAACATAGTTATTTTTAGGATAACATATATTTGTTGAGATAATGATAATATTAGCATCTCTTATGCATCTATAAATCAGTGTGTCAACCTTTTTAGGCTGAGTTACAATTTAGCATTCATTTATAATTTTTTTTCTCTCTATATACAAATGAAAAATTTACATAAAATAATAAGCTTATTCTTAATCAAATAAGTTCATAACTTGAATCTGTGTCATAGGAATTCATACCAAAAATATTTAGCAAATATATGGCTTTGATTTATATTTAATGTAAAATGGTCTACTTCCAAGTTTTATCATCATTATTTTATTTTTCTATACAAGGGATAATTCAAATCAAGAAAAAGGATTTAAAAAGATTTTCACAAAGCCTAATTATTAAGATAATAAAAATGCAAATCTTTTCATATTATTTGCTTGCGCTATTTTTGGTTCACCTATCAAAGTCCTGTTGGGTTATGGTATTGCCAAGTATTTACCCAATTAAAACAGCTTCAATGGAAAATACAAATAAAGATGATCGATGTTGTGCTGGCGTTGGAGTGTGGAATAGATATGTTCCACTTAGTAATTTAATATAAGTTGGAACTATTGGAATACTGGACAGCAATTGTTTTCAATTGTTTAGAATATAGGATAAGACAAACAATGAATTACATTTTATACATTATTAATGTGTTGACTATGAGAATAAAACAATCAAGAAATATTTTCTATTTTTGGATAAGGAAGTTGGAGATATTAAAGAAGAGATTCTAGTAGATTATAACTAATATGAATTTATTTGGTATTTTAATGGATTCTTTACAAATCCTTCAAACTAGGAAGTCATAATATATTAATTGGATGGTATGAATTAACTATACTAAAAACCAATCTAATACAAATTTTAAATTGATTAATAAAAATTTGAACAAATAGTTGGAGGTGATTTCATTGTACCCTAAAATATTCCACTTCAACATTTTGAGAGAAACATCCTATCCTATTTTCCTGGAGACATTAAATATATTGAGGGATGTTATATTTTTTCCCCTCAAGGTTTTATTAGTTTGATCAAATAGAACTCAAATAAAGCTTGCTATTGTTACTAAAGTTCAATATCCAGCATAGCAGATGTAAGAATAGAAAAATAAAATTTTTATGAATTTGTATCAAATAATCTTAATTGTTAAGAATTTTTATTATAAGGTTGGGTAAAAATTTAAGAAATTCATTCATATGATGCCGAATTTGATTATTAACTTCTAAAACTTGCCGGTAATTTTTAAAATTCTCACTTAATTCAAAAAAATTTATGCGCATTCTAATTGTTTTACAAGATCTCTTCTAGTAAAAACCAAATTATTATAACAACCTATAGCTATACTATTCCTGCTGTCTATATAGACTTTTCAAACAATCCTTTCTTAAAGTCTGAAACAATTGATGTAACTTTTGATATAAAATTGTGGCATTATGTATTAGTAACGAAGTTAGAAAATTCAATTTAGGTTTCAATTACATTTTACAAAGGTTTTGACAAAGAAGAATTTAATATAAACTTAGATGTATAACAGTTCCATAAAATATAATTTAAGTTATTATATGGGAATTTGTTATAATCTACATCCAACTACCTAACAATATAAATTTTTGATTTCTAATTTCTTAACTGTTTATATTCAAATTAACCATAAATAAGTTGCCACCCAATTTGCAAATAATGCGATGGGCCGACAAAAGATGATTGCCTATCATGTTTTGAAGATTCAAATAGAAGATATTTACCAGAATTTAAGTAATGTATATGTGAATATGGAAAAGTTGATGAAAATAATAATTGTGTTGATTATAAAGTTTTAAACCTTAATTTAAATCAAGTAAAGCCATTGAAAGAAGAATGCAAATATGGTTTTTTTGAAATTGAAGGCTATTGCTAATAATGGTATTATTTTCATAATTATATAGCCCATCAATTATAAATAAAAATGTTATAACTTGTTTGGAATGTGTATAGAATCCTAAAAAATGGGCTCAAACTCTTACTTGTTAAACAACATTATATACAAATAAAGAAGGAAATACATCACAAAAGTTGCAGGACCAATAATAACAATTTATATTTTTGGGTAATGATTTACAATATTGTCCTGATTGCTACACACTTGTAACTCCATCCTACGATTAAGTTAAAAAATCGATTAATTTAAAGATTTTTGTCGATCAATAAATGAAAATTGCTACTCTTGTGGATAGAATTGTTATGAATGTGAAATCTTATAAACAAATTTAAATTGCTTAGCCCATTTTTACAAACCCCGTCCTTCTTAAGAAGAACCTTGTTAACCTCCGAAATATCAAAATTTTCAAAAAAATTGTGTAGACTGTAAAATAAAAAATTGTTTATATTGCTTCAATTATTTTGGAAGTGATCCAACAAGAACTACTCTAGGCTTTATAGAAAATTATTCTTTTATTGATCAAAAAATTTAAGATGGAAGTTACTCTCTTATTGATGAAGAAATTATAGAAGGCTGTGCTTAATGTACTGAAGAATACATCTATAATATTACAATTAGAGAGTGTATTATGAAGAAACCATCTGTATAAAATTGCCTTCAATACTATATTAATTTTGAAAAGCAAGAAATTTGCACTCTTTCTGCTATTGATGACTTTAATATTGCTCCTGTAATCGCAAATTGTTAATCTCATCTTTTTTATTGTAAATAGTGCATCAAAACTCCATAATCTACTCTTAGATGCATACTTTGTGAGGATTAATATTTGTTATTTACCTCAACAGGAACTTGCACTTCTTGCAATAATGAATTTTCCAAATAATGTATTGAAGAGTTCGGTTTAGATCCTTGGAAATGGTTAGTTCAAGGCTTTATATATTAATTTTTACCTAATAAACCTACTTTTAATAATTAATTATAGAGACCAAAAATTACTATCACTGAATGCATGCCAGGTTATAAAAAGATAAAAAGAAGCTGTTGTCAATATTGCGATTAGACGTGTTCTGAATGCAAAGATAATGGCTAAGAGTTTGAATGTTTCAAATGCAAATAAAATTATTATTAAGAGACAATAAGAAATTAATCTAATGGATAGTGTTTTCAATGTTGAAGAAATAATTGTATTTAACTTAATAAAATAGAAAATAAATCCATATTTTGTAATAACCCCAGACAGCACCATTTACACTTATAGATGTCTTTAATAGATTCCTCTTGAAAAAATTCAAATAGACCCAAATCTATAAATTGCATAATATTGTTATTTAAACAATTGTGACAACAATTTAGAATTATATAATGTAAACTATTATTTAATTTAGAATAATGTTGATTGTAATTACATCTAACTTATTCCTGAGGATCAATTAAATTAATTGAATTATCAATATTTTAACAATATTGGTCTTAAGGAATTAGCTATTACAATATAACTAGCAGATGACTGCAATTTAAGCAATCCTGATCATACTCTTACGAATGATTTTAAGGAAAATATTTTTTCTTTGCAAATAGCAAGATTTAAGTATTAAGGCACGAAATCCCCAATTTAAACAGAGTAATCATATGCTTTGAAAATTTACAATTATGATGTTATTCTATTAACTAATATCAAATTTATAATTTCCTCAAATTTAAATTTGATATTTCAAAACAGGGGCAATCCAATAGATGTAACTTTCATTGATATATCATTTTCTTAAGCTGAAAGCAATGCAATATCATTCTCTATTCAAGGAGATAGATTCCTTAATTTAAGTGTGAAAAATTTATTAATTTTTGATTGCAGAATTGAAAATTCAGTCGTATTTAATATTTATTGTGCAGATTTGAGTGACACTATTAAAATTGAAAATTTTAAACTTCAGAATTGTAAATTTACAAATTCTGCTTTATTTTAATTTTAAAACGTTTAAAGAACAATTCTAATTAAGAATTTTATTATAGATTCTTGTGAATTTTATAATTCAACAATCGTTCTCTTCTAATTGAATCAAAATCCATTCTCTAATATAATATATAATGACGTTTAAATAGCAAACACACTATTTTAAAACACAAGTTTTATTTACAGCAATGAGAGAACAAAATTTACTATTAATAATCTTTCAATTATAAAAAGTAAGATGATGAATTCTAAATTTATTATATTTAATTATGAATCTAAATTAAAGAATATTTTAATAAAGGATAGTGATTTAATATCATTTTAATTTATTTCATAAATCTCATCAATCATGGAAGAATATGAAATTTAGCTGGATTAAATTTAGTTTTAAAAAAATACTATTTATAATTCTTAAATATTTGTTACAGAATACAAGCAATCAATAACTTAAACTAAACTTTTATTTAATAACCTATATTTTGAAGATAACATTATGGCTTCTTAACAAGAATAGTATCTTATAATAATTAACTGTTTTAATTTAACTATCTAAAACACCTTCATAAGAAATACATTAAATTATCGTTTTATTTCGTTAATCGCTGTTCCTTTTATAAAAATTGAACATTTAATTTATGAAATTTCAAATCAAAAACAAAAAGTTAAACCATCATCTGAATGCCTTTAAAATTAGATATATTATTCGTAATTATTATAAGTTTCTGGGTTTATCGACATAACTCTAAATTTCTTTTAACTTAAAAATTTATTTAGTATAGATCAGTCAATAATTTCAATTTAATCAAATCCATTGAATATGTTAAATTCAAACGAAAATATAAAAATTAAAAACTTTTTAGTTAAAGGAAACATATTAATCAAATAATAATTAGGAAAATTATTTTCTATAATTGAATTATAATCTGAAAAACCTTAAATAATTGAATTAGATTAATTAAGCTTTGAAGAGAATATTTTTCATGAATATAATAAGGATCCTTCTTAAACTTCAGCAAGTCTTTTTTATTTAGATTCTGGGTTAGGTCTTTTAATGATGAAAAATATCATTTGTTCTAATAATTCTCTAACAAATTCTTCCCTCTCGTATATTTCAATTTTTTCTAAAGAAATTCAAGTAGAAAATTTTTATGTCTAGAATCATAATTACCACAGTCAAGAATTTTGGGTTAAATATTATGAAATTCAATTTTAAGGTAATTATAATTAAAATGAAATTACTTATATTATTTCTCAATCATATAATATCGTAACATTAGGAGGAGTTTTATCAACAACAGTAACTAAATTTTCATTTAATAATGGTTTATTTAGTTATATTAAAGCCTAAGGTAGTCAAGTTTTTAACATTAATTTATAAGGAGTTGGAATAGTGATTATATAAAACTGCATTGTTAATCACGCTCATAATTCATTATTTACAACTTTAGAATAAAATGGGGCTTTTACAATTAGTGCGAAGAAAAGTTTGTTAACACTTTATCTTAATAATGTTATTTTAACAGATGTCTTAAATAAATAGTCATCTTCAATCTTTTAAATAGATCCATCTTATTCAAAAAATAATATAGAATTAAAAAATATTGTTGCTAGAGATTGCTTCTCCCTTATTGACTAAATTTTGAGTTTTAAATTTGATTCTTAAATCGTTTTATAGAATAATGTAAAAATAGACAATTTTACAATTATTTAGACTTAGGCAGCCTTTTTAACATTTGTCTAATCGTTTGGAAAAGTTGGTTTAGTTGAAAGGGAAAAAATGCTTACAGACAATGCAATTATGAATTTGGTTGGATGTACATTTACTTTAGACAAATTTAATATTTATGGAATCATATTATCGTCGATCATAAAACTTATGGATTCAAAATATATCAAAATTACAAACTCCAAATTCACCAATATTTAAACATTTTATCCCTTAAATTTAGTAGATGTCTAATAAAGTAATGACATGTAATCTAAGATACTTTTTTTTATAATATTTCAATATAAAATCTTATTGATTTTAAATTTAGTAACCTAAATTAGTACTAATTTAATTATAATTTTATTGATCTTGATTCTTCATAATGCAGTTTTAAAACTAATTAAATAATAAATGAGATGGATTAACAAGATGTTAATTTGGTATCAACCTTTTTAAGGAAATTGTTTCAAACTCGAATTAGAATGGATCTTTGATTAAATTGAAAACTATCACTAACCAAACTCAAGTTTTGTTCAAAACAATTATGTTACTAAATAATGATTGTTAAAATTGTTTGAATGGCTTATTATATTTTGAATAAGTTGATTTCTAAAAAGCTCTAATCTCAGAACTGTCATGCATTATGAACTCCAATAAAAATTATGGTTGTATATTGGCAAAATCAGATAAAAAAATAGATAGTATAACATCAATTTAGAATTCAATGTTCATCTCTAATAAGGGATAATTAGGAGCTGGAATTTTTATCTAAAATTAGAAATTTTATTTAAAAAATTCCATTCTTTTGAATAATATAGCGACATAAATAGGAGGTGGTTTCTATTTTTCAGAGGGTTCTTAAAGATTTACTATAAATAATTCTTTAATTTTTAATAATTAAGCAGCAGAAGCAGGAGGGATATTTTTATTTGGGAATAGCAGTTTAACTAAAAATAATTTTATTAAGTCACTTGTCTTATTAAATTTTGCTAGCATCTCTTCAAATAACATTAATGAATTACCATAGCATTTGAGTTTGTAAATCAACCTTATAGAAATGTTCTCACAATAAAAATTAATTGAAAACCATTAATATTAGGTCCTATATTTAAAGCCTTACAAAATTATATCCTAAGATCACAGCAAATAAACAAATGACTTATTTCTTCCTAGTGGTCAGAAGCTATAAGCTTATGAGCTTTATAATCCAAAGCATTAAAAATATTAGAGTTTCATATTTGATTTAAGCATTCTGTTTAAAAATAGTATGAATGAAGTATTAATCAACTTTGAAAATTCAACCTGCAATGTATAATTATAAATTTTTGATAATGCTGAAAATTTAAGTCAATCTATTAAAATGTCCAAACTAAATTTTAATTAAAATACTAAAGGTTTTAACCTTGATTCGCTGTAATTTGATATAGATCCATATAAGTAGGAAAATAAAATTTAAGAAATTTTAGTATATTGCAACACTTCTTATTAGGATGAGTAATTAGCCTATAGAATGAGAGTCAATAGTTTCCTGTGCTAATTAGGAGAATTCTATATTTATTCTGGATGTCAAACATGTTAGCCTTTATAGGGATTCTAATCTGTAACATATAACACTACAAAATATTCTATTTTTGATAAAAATAAATTTGATGCCATTACTTCTAATAAAATTAAGCTCAAAGCTGGATTTTGGAGGCCTAATTAAATTTCAGATTATATAGAATTATGCTTTAAAAATCCAACTTATTGTGAAGGAGGATGGAAATTTGGAAATGATCTTTGTTCTTAGGGACACATCGGAGGATTGTGTGAAGAATGCGATCGATATGATATAAGAGGAGCTGGGTCATTTTTTAAAGATTAGAAACAACTAGAATGTAAATAATGTTAAGAATTTTAGAGGTTATTATTGACCTTTTTTTTAATTTCAATTTGGTATATTAATTCTAATTATAATAGGGCAATCCTTTCAACTTTGTTAACCATCAGAAGTATTGAAAAATCCAATTCACTTTTTGCATCACTCAAGCTTAGATAAAAATTTGTGGAAATATTATTCAAACTTAATTAAGGTAATTTTTAATATTGTAATTAGATCATGAAAGTATTTTACTTAAATTATTTCTTAATTATTTATGGATTTTTTCTCTTATTTTTACATTTAATATTCGATTATCTTTCTCTTTGAATTTTTTAAAATAATCGAGCGATACATCCTATTTTATGGCAAATTATTTTGAATGTATTTTGGCAGAAATTTAAGGGATTGAATTAATTTACAGTAGAATCTTGGTTATGTTTGTGCTATTATTTGCCTAGATATTAATAATATTTATTGGATTTAATATTTTATCAATTTTAACAAAAACTAAGGTTAGAATGAGAATCATATCTATTACATTTCTATATTTATATATCTAAAATTATGCATCCTTGATTAATTAGTAATTTTATTCATAATATTAGATTTTTTTCAATTCTGGCTGTTAGAAAAATATCAAATTAAGACTATATATCGGGTGATGTATCCTTGATATATGGGTCAGAGACGCATGTCTTATGGATAAAAGAATTTGCAATTCCTGGATCTACATTAATTGGATTGATCATACCCTTATTGTTATTTTTAATGTTATACTTAAATAGAGAAAACCATAACAAGATAAAGTTTAGAAGACATGTAGGATATCTATTTAATGAATATACTCAATAAAACTATTTTTGGGAAATGATCAAATTGTGGAAGAAAACCATTATTATTGTTATTCTAATCTACTTTGAAACTGACATATTTTTGAAGGCAGCGTTATTAGGGCTGTGTTTATTGTTTTACTAATTTATCGCTTAGAATTATAAGCCCTTTATTCTTTAGAAGTTTAATTCATTGGACATTTAGAGCGGTCAATATTGTTCCTTTGCCATATTTTTTGGAGTTATTAAATATATATGTGAATAATCGGAGTAATATAATTTTTCAACACTCATTCAAAGTTTTATCTTTATTACCAGCATTTTATTGAGTTATCCATTTATTAACAATATTCTAAAAGTCTATTATAACAAATACCGGTTGCTAGTTTTAGCTTCATTGTTTTAAGGATTTAAATCATTAAATCCTAATTTTAAGTTCACTAAATTTTTGGGGGAAATAATTTCAAATTTGAGATAGAAAGAATATAGGATTCAAAAGAATATTTAAAAATTAAGGGCCTTACTTTTAAAGAAAAAATAAGATGGCCAATTGTAAAAATATTAATGTTATTTTTAGGGGGATAATCAATTTAGCAGAAAATAATATGAAAAGAAAGAAATAAATATCATTAATCTTGAATTGTAGTTTCAGAAATAAAATTTGACAAATTATTAGATAAAAAAAATCATTTTCTATATAAATCAATAATCTTATAAGTTGTCTTCCTTCTTCCATTTATACTTCTATCAAACCCAATAGTTTAGCATTATTGATATTGTGTTCTTAACCCTTTGGTTAGTGATTAATGTAGAGATACTTCAAAGGATTTACTAATTAAGAGCATATAATTTTTTTAAATGGGTTGTAATACTTGAATTGAATAATTTAAAATGGAAGATTTAAGATAGAATAAATAGAATGATTGAAAGAAATAAGGTCATTGGAAAGAATTAATATGTTGTAGTAGAGAAAGAGAAAATTCATTATGATAAATTATTACTAGCCACAGACTTTAATATTATTCAATATCAATAAGGTTATTTACTTGTTTAATTAATATGCTCAAGTTTTCTTGAATTTTGTAATCCTGATTGAACTTTATTGAAATTGCCATTTTAAAATGATGTGTTTTATTTTAAACGAATTTTAAAATCTAAAAAATTTCGCAATATCATTTGATTCAATTCCAAACTAAGTTACTGTTAATGGTTTAGTTACCTAAAATTCATTGTAAGGTTCAAATTGCTTTACATCATAATCTTTAAATTTCAATTTAGATCGGAGAAAGATAAAGTACATGATTTACCAAACTCATAAATTATCATGAGGTTAGAGTTAAATCAGGTCAGTCTAGAGGTGTGTTTCTACTTTGAGATCTCTAACCTGTATCAAATAAACCTCCTCAATCTATACAGAAACTTTTAAAAAATTTCTAAGAAGAAGCTGGATATATTGTTGATTGACAATTAATTAAAAAACAATATCAAATTTCTAAAATATGTAAAAATTGTAACAAACATAACCATTGTTATTACAGATAATTTATATATATATCGATTTTAATGAGAAGTAGTCTCTGAGTATTTAAATAAAATGCATTAATATTATAACAGCCTCAAATGCTCTCATCAATACAGAAATTATTTCAGTTTTTGGTATTATTAAAGCACTTCTTAATTCCATTTGAGTATCACCCTTTTATCAAATTGGAACACAAGGATTAAAAACCTAAGAAACCTATGATAAAGGCCTAATTGAGACATTGATGAACCCTGATTAGAGAAATTAATAATTACAATAAAGTATTTAAACTAGAAGAGTAATTTTGAGCAGGAATAAGTATATGAACCTTAAAGTATAAAGGAAATATTTCCAAAAAATAGAGGAATGATGCTTTTTTTATTACCCTCGGCTATTCGACTGAAAATTTGTTTCGCAACACTGTAATCTTTTTACCTTTAAGATTCTAATTCTTTCATTAATAGATTCAAACGATTCATGAAAATTGCATTTTTTAATAGATTAATCAACAATCATTATTAAAGATATTTAATCGCTATTTATTTTTTCATAATAATATTTATAATACATTGGAATAGAAAATCATTCAACTGTTTTAATTTTGATATAAAACTCTTTCTTAAATAGTCTTCAAATTTAGGGAGGCCATAAATGATTTTTTATTCAAAAAGGATTCTATTAACTTTGCAAGGTTATTCAATGTATACAATTCATTTTGTTCAACCTAAATTAAGAATTTTTAATTTATATATATTAATTAGAGATTTTCATAATATACATCCATATAAAATTACTTTGCATTTTTTTTACCAACATTCTAAAAATTTGATTTCACATAATTGAATTTCAATTTTGCAGTTTTAAGAAACAAATGCTGCATTAAAAATTTAACTATTTTATTTTCATAAATATTATAAAAACTAATTAGTTTGCCTAAATTTTTCAATCATGATTTTACTTAACATTGATTTTTATTAATTCTCTTATATTATGTGTAAATTTAAGGTTAGGTAGAAATATTGATTGAATAAAAATAAATAAATACAATCATATAATAAGGATAGTTTCAATTTTTTATTTTTAAATTTGCCAAAAACTAAAGTATTATTATTATTGCTTGTTATTCTTTAACTTTCCTCATCTCTATGAAAATATTTGATTTACAATCTTGAAATTATTAAAAACAAGTTAAGCTTTGATATGCATTAGAAGCATTCTAAAATGATTAATATAAAAATATCAAATTAATCAGTATTGTTAATCACAGAAATTCCTTGTAGGAAAAATGATTTGATTAAAGAAATAAAAATCAAAAAGGCTTTTGAAATTATTTCAATGGGAAATTCTTTTTCGCAATTTAAATCTAATTAGAAGCCTTTACTTTTAATGATAGGTTTGGATGGTGCTGGAAAAACAACTATTTTAAACAGATTAATTTTGGGAAAAGTAGAGAGCTACACTTCAACGTTAGGATTTTACATAGAAAATATATAAAGCAAAAAGTTAGACATAATTTCTTGGGATATTAGAAGAGAAGATAAATTTAAAATTCTTTGGAAGCCTTACTTGTAGGATACCAAAGGAATAATTTATGTTATTGATTGTTTTGACAAAAATAGGATGCATGAAGCCAAATTTGAATTACTTCAACTGTTGCTTGACCCTTAACTTTTTGTATGCCCCCTATTAATATATGCAAATAAATAAGATCAAGCAAAAATAAGTTCAGAAGAGTTAATAGCTGAATTAATGATACAAAGAATTTCTAAAAATTACCATATATAACCATGTTGCTCAATAACTGGCTAAGGACTTTAAGAAGGGCTAAAATGGATTTAAGAATAGACATAACCAAAACTGAAATGAAAAATAGATTGAATTCATTCAATAAATGAGTCCCAATCAAATATCTATTTAAAGTAAAGTTTAGTATGTAATTGATGAGTCTTCATTTCTTCAAAACTGCTCACATCTTATATACTATTTTAATTTCAACATTATCTTTATCAAATAAATATTAATTAGATATTTATCAATTATAATATTTCTGAATTTATCAAAAGTCAATCCTAATTATTTTTAACGTAAAAATATGTAGACCTGAAGTGTTGAAAATTAAGAATCCATCAAATATATTAATTTGCCTAAAAAAGAGTGTTACCTGTTAACTTATACTATTAAAATTATATAGTACAAAATTTTAAAAAACATTATTTTTTATTTAACTCTGATAAGAGAGAAGGTCAACCAATATTAAAGGTAATTCCTATACAAGGTATGGAAAATTTGTTGAAAAAAAAATCAAAGTTATTTTGTTAATTTAATAGTTATAAAATTAAATATAATATTGTTTAAATTTTTTTATATAAATAAATTTGAATATCCTCAAAATCAGGTTAAATGGTCTTACTAATCTGTCCTATACGTTTTCAGAAAATTTTAGCATTACCCTCTCTAAAGAACTTCAATAAATAAATAATTTTATATTCAATCTCCATAAATCAATTCATTGTAAATAAAATATAAATTTGCATTTGTAATTCATTATAAAAAAAATTACATTCATCAATAGATAATTTATGGATAGAAGAGTAATAATTGAGTTTCAGAGTAGATGATATTTTTTGCATTAATACATTAACAATCAAGGCAAGCTTTAACATTCACTCAAAATTTTTGAACTGTGATAAATTATTAAAAATAATCGAATAGTAAATTTCATCACTCTCAATATAGGTAGGGATAATGTATACCTTAGATATTTGATATGACGAAAAAAATAACGGAAAAGTATTTAGAATCCTATTGAGATAGGTAGAACTTAAGTAAATTAATAAATTTAGGTTTGGAATTATCTAATTTATACATATATTGAGTAGCTATTGAGACTTTAACTCATTAAATATCTTTATAATCAAATCATTATTAATCATGTTTAAAAATGGCAAATCTCTATATTTCATAATATTAAGAACTATATATGTATTTCAGGTTAATTTTTAAGATGTAATTTTTTCTTCAAAAGGAGCCCTTAAACTCAATAAAAAAGATTTTAGATATTAAATAAATCGACATTTGCTGACTCGGCAAATAATTGGGAAGTTTGCTATAAATATACCTATAATTTATAATGAAGATGGGAATCTTTGATGAGGCCTTTTGATGTTATTGTTCAAATGAATTAAATCCATAGGAAGATATAGTTATGGTTAATGTTATAAAGTTGCATAACTTTAACTTTAGGAATTATATTATGTTTATTAGGCCCAAAAATTAATCCGACTAACTCATGGTGCATCAAATTAAATGGGTATATTTTTTAATCTTATAATTATAGCAAGAGCTATATACTAAGAGTAATATTAACGTTATATTAAAAATAAGGAACTTTGAAGAAGAGCCAATAATTTACTCAAAGTTCCTTAAGTAAAGCATTTTAATAATAATTGAAATTCTTGTATATTCATTTTTCTAGTTTAATTCCTTAATCATCCTACTCTCTTTGATTAGGGTAGATTTGGATAATGTAAATGCATGCTTTGTGGAAGACATTATTCGGTTTTCCTTATTATATTCCAGAATGGAAATAGGGATTATTATGAATGAAGAAATTATTCCATAAATTTTTAGAGAAAATATATTTAGTTGTGAGTAAATCAATTAGAATCAAAACTTATTGATAAAATTTTGGTAAAACATGTAAATTGAGTCCTAATCTATCCATGTTTAATTAATAGAATAATTTTAGTACTAAATAGTATATATATAAAAAATATAAGGTCAATAAATATTTAACAAAACTATCGTAACTTATAAATGGGAAGCAGTTCAACTAAACCTAAAGAAAAAGAGAAGAACAATTTAGCTAAACAATCAGCTTAATTAAATTAGGCTAAACCTTATGAATACAAAAAAGAGGAGTCAACGAATTAATAAAATCAAACCTAAGCTAATAACTCCACATATAATTTACAAAATTGTAATATTTATATGATAAAACCCATAAATAATTTACTAGCTAACAAGAAAATGTAAGAGAATAATCATTTTATTCAACCTAAACAAAAACAAAATTTTTAAAATTTACTCGAATGTCCTGAAATAAATCTACCTAATCATAGTAACTTCATCTATTAATAGTAACAGCAACTTTTTAATTTTGATCAACATTGTACATTATAGGAAGCAAAACAAAAGATAGATCATGAAGTATCAAAAGATGGATTTTTAAATTGTAATAGATACTATTAATATGATAATTTATAGTAAAGATAGAATAATAAAAGAGCTATGTCAAATCAAAAATAATAGTAAGATGCAAAATAAAATTATTAAAATGCTGAAAAAGTTTAATTCTCAGTTAATAATGACAATTCTCAATAAATAGCTTAAAAATTATTTCCTCCAACTCCTCCAACATTACAGTAAATTTAATAATAAAGTAAGAATTAGGAAAAGAGATTGAAACCAATAGAAATTAATAAAATATAAGAAAAAGAAGATGAAGATTAAATTTATATCTACAATTAAATTTTCAATACTTAAACCTAAGGAAGATTTTCAAATAAATTACCATGTAAACATTCTCAATGCAAAACAATTGCAACTATAAATGCTAAAGGAGATGTTGGATGTGAAAATAAATGTCCTTCTTATCCAATCGAAAAAGCTATATTTAATAATAAAAAAAATACAATATTTTGTATTATTTAGGATAAATATTATGATGTCAACATATACAATTAAGTAGCAAATTAATTGTAATTAGTTCAAATACTAAAAGATTCATTATTGTGTTCTAATAGAAGTTAAATTGAATAGGATTAATTCTAAAAAAAATTTGCAAGTGTCATATGCAAATATGTTATCAATAAAGTAAGATAAAATAATTAATGATGCATTTTCGAAAATTATTAAATATTATAAAAATTATGATAAAAATAAAGCTCAATGAACTTTTTTCTAATTTTCTTAATTATGAAAGAAGAACAACGATAAAGCATCAAGCAAAAATAATTAAACTTAAATTAGGAAAGAGCGACAGCAAGAATTTCAACTAATTGACTTATTTGATAAATTGCAAAAAAAAAATCATTAAATTCATAAGTTAGAAACTAATTAATTAAATAGCAAAACAAGACAGCAAGCTATTAATCGAGTTATTTAAAATAAGTTTTTCTCTTTATTCATTATTTAACTCAGGAATTCAATGATGCCCTTAGATCGATAAATAGTATTTTGAGGTTCCATTATTTGAAATAAAAGAAAAATATCCTTTAAGATTAGGAAATATATGATTAGAAATGCTGACAGTTCAGAATAAAATTATTTCGATAATTATTCAATAGAGAATTTATATAAAAAGTTAAAATAAATTTTTGTCGTAAAAACTATTATATTTGTTTATTTTTTAATCCAAGTTCACATTTAATTATGAGTTAACAACCAAAAAATCAGAAAAAGTAGGCATTTGATAATATTTCTAATGATATAATCTTAATTATTGAGGAAGTTCATATTGCAAAAATTTGATATTAATGGATAAGGAATTTTTATTCAAAATCTAGTAGAATATCTAGTATTTATGTTTAAATGCTTTCGAATATTATAACTTAAGTAAAATTTTTTATAGATATAAATTTTAGCAATATAATATCAATTAAAGCATTGAAAAATTCAAAGTGAAAACCAACCATCGAACAGTCTTTTAAATTAAACTTATAAACATTAACTACATACACTATAAATTAATTGATACTAAGTGGATATGAAGACTTTGATTATTACTGAATAGTGAAATACTTTAAAGTTTATTCAGAAAGTTTGTTTACTTCTTTACTCTCCAAATATTTGCACTCCAATAGCAGTATAATTTATATTTATTTTCTAAAATAGATGAAGTCCTGACACTTAGGTTGAACGCTTTCTCAACTGTATGATTTCTATCCATACAACCATATGGTTTAAATCATATGTACAAGAATCTTTTCGCAAAACACTTTTATCCAAATTAAATTCTCTTTTCATATAGAATGATTTGGTTTGACTAATTTAAGTTTAATTAATAAATTTGCATTGATGTTATTAAAAACTCAAACATTTGTAATATTATCACTTGCTAATAGGATAAATCTTGTGCATAGCTATTTGCTAAATTTTTGCTGTTGACTTAAATAATGCTCTAAGTTAAAACGATGAATTAATAAAATTATAGTTCAACAGTCCACTCAAGAGTTCTTTAATGAAATTATTATACAATTGTATGAACAAATTTAATTATTTCTTAATGTTAAATAATCGTTTTCATTTTGAGGAAAAAAATTGCAATTTGAGCTTGTTTCAATACTCATTCTATAATTATATTGATATATAATCCCTCTTAAAGGTTTTCATAATTATACTTAGAAGAAGCCAGTTAATATTTTGTTTCGAAAAAATTAGAGCCCATTATTTAGTATTTATAACATTTCAATTCTCTCCAATTAAGATCAATAGATACAAGCTATATTAAAAGTTGGATGAAAAAATCCGAACAAACTTAAGAAGATAAATAAATTTAAGTATTTCAATCAGAAGCATAAGCCTTAACTTGATTCTGCAAATTATAGATTATTTCAAAAGTAATAAACATATGGCCTTATACTCCTCAATAACTTTTATCAATTGATGATAAATTGATTATAATCGATTTTAGTCTAAGTAGGAAACTAGTGTAAAATAGATGGGCAAATAGAGAAATGAATTAAAGGAAAATAATCTAATATTAATAATAAGATTATGATTCATAATTTGGAGAGTTACTTATTTATGTAATCTGTCTCATTTGACCCTAGTTGCAATGCCTCCAAATAAACTTGCTTAGCATTGTATTTGAAATTCAACTCAAATAGCGAATCAGCTATATATTACTTAATTAAAAAAGTGTACCTTTTCTTTTAAGCAAAGAAGGATTAATGCAAATAGACAGAGCTTAATCATAACATTATAAAGCATCCCAATATCTCTTTAATTGATGTAATGCAAAGCCTCAAATTATAAAATATATATGTACCTTTATTACTAAATGAAGCATCAAATTTAGGATTAATGGAAATAGCTTAGTCGAAACACTTGATTGCTTCTTAATGTTAATTTAAATTACATAATACCATGCCTAAACAATAATTTGTCTTATTAGTTACCTTTATTATTCCATGAAAGAAAATCTTTTGTATCAATGGAAATAGCTTAATCATAGCATTCAATTGCTTCTTAAAATCTTTTAAGTTTTGATAAAACTAAGGCTAAATAATAATAATAAGTCAAATTTATTTACCCTTATTAATCCATACTCTAACATATTGAGGATTTAAGGAAAGTGCTTAGTTGAAACGCTCAATCGCTTCCTAATAATTTTTTGATCTTCTTAAAGCTTTTCCTATTATTATGTAAAATTGATTATACCTTCATCGAATAATCTTTCAGCCTCTTCGAAATTCAACTGTTCATTTCTTAAGCTTTGTTTATTAGTTCTAACCGACGTTTTACCATCAGAACTTACTTATTAATTCAATTTAGTTTAGTCTGATACCATATTCTTTAATTTATTAGGAATTTTATTCAATTCTATTAATTGTTATTCTATTATTAATAAATATGAAAATGAATACATTTGTAATTTTCATTTTCTTTTGAGTAAAACTGCTTAATTATATGAATTTGTGACTTAAAAGCTAAATACTCGTGGTTTTAAAGCTGATAAGTCATATTTTCTAGTATTTAAATTTCTTGATCCATATTATTTTAAATCTCTTCAAAGTAATTTTATATTCGTATATAGACTTAATTGAATTATTTCCTTAATTCATTATTTACTTTTATCAGTTCTTTCATAAAATAGTTTATTGTTGAGAATAAAACACAATCTTTTTAATGTTCTGAATGTGTAGTATTAAAACATTCAGAACAATATTGAGTTGAATTTTAGCAATTCTGATTCAAACAAAATCCAATAATTTCTTTATTTTCATGATCAAGTTATTTGCAGCTTAAGAAATTCATTTAAAAAAGTCTAAAAAATAAAATAAATAATTATTCAACTCCAATATTAAAATGTTTATTATAATCAATAACATAAAAAACGTTATCATCAAATATACATTAGTGAAAAATTATTAAATCATAGAACTCCATTCAAAAATTTTCTTCATAATTTTTATTTTTTATTCATTAAATTTGATAGAAAATTAATATCTGAATATTCCATATTATGTAGGAGCTAAGATTGGAGGATTTTTTATCATACACATAAACCATGATGTAACGAGAAGTAAAATTAAATCATATATTACCTTATTCCTTTAAGCAATTTACTGAACCCTTATAAAAGATTTCAAGGTAATTAAAATAAGAAAAAATTATTTATTTATCTCATTTTGAATTGTAATCAAGCAGGTAGTTACTTTTCTTAAAAATGGATTTTTTCTATTCAAAAATGCATATTGAATTATATAATAAGTTATTAACAGCAGTAAAGAAAAAGAAGAAATAGAAAAATAATTTCTAACAAAGAAGTTTAGAAGTTTATTTAGATTGAAATAGAAAGAAGATTCTGGGAAGAGCACCTTAATCAAAAATATTATTCGGCTTATGACCTGTTTTTTCAACATTCAGAATATTATACCTTAAAACAGGCTTTTTTATTGATATTATTGAGGAAAAAATTAGAAACAAAGGACTTTGAATAAATTCTTGTTGAGTAAATAGAAGAAAATTTATCCCTTGAATTTTTGTGCTTTTCTAACTCAATAGATTACACAATTCCTTCCCCTCCAAAAGCATAAAAAAAATAACCAAAATTTGCAGTGTCATAAAATATCTCATGTGTGTCAAACCTAAAATTTTAGTTTATCTAACAATGGAGAATTTATTTTGAATTCCAGCAGGATTAATCTTTGACAGGCATTTAAATTTTGGATTCTTTAATTATTTTGTAATTAGAAAACAATTATTCCAGATGTAATAATTTTAGTTATTTTCACATCATTCTGCTTTTTGGGAAAGTAAAGAAAGTAGTTAAAACCCTACAATCAACATCCATAGATTTAAAATTAATAGAATTTGATTTTAATTGAAGTGAATCTTATGAAATTAGGAATTAAAAGGTAAAGAGTGCAATTAAATGTTTGCTCTGTAAATATCGCGGGTTTAATAGCATATATTTGGCAATTAGAGAGATAATAATAATGGTTAATTAGGCATACAACTACCAATTTGAGTTTTTAAATTAAATAAATAATAAACAATTTGCTTTTACAAAATTGAAAGGGGAAGGAAGATTTTAATAAACAATCTGATTTTTATGATTGCATTTCAAATGCTATTCCGAGAGCGATTATTTAAGAAATTATGTTATCACTTACGCAGATCTGAGTGTACTTAATGAATATATTTAAGTGTACTTCCAAGTAGGGAAAAATGGAAGTGAGAGTGAAACTAAACTCAAGAAAAATGGGATTTAAAATTATCAATTTTATGAGAATTATTTAATTGAATTATGACAACTTTATCAAAACTATATTTGTACTCAGTCATTTTTATATTAACTTTATATAAGAATTATACAGTAAATTTAGTATACCACCCAGTTGATGTTTTTACTCGCTTTAATTTATCAAGAAGTGAGAGAATATGGAATCTATAATAAAATTGATTGTCCAAATCTATTTGACATTTTGTTTTCGCTGTATACTTCAATTATGAAAATGATAAAAATAAGTCCCTTTGGGAAAAAAATTTCTCCTATCAGCATTTTTACCTTAAATATAATAACCCTTTGAAGTATCTTTCGCTAATTATATAATCTTAAACTAATAATAATTGGCCATTTCTATATTCTATTTACTTTCCCATTCTAATTGAATATAAAACACAACTATTTTCCTATTTCTGATAATAAGAACCATCACCAAATATTAATAATCTTATATTGAAATGGATCGCATTAATCTTTCCCTCCTGAAATAACCCATTTATAAACTTATTGATCATTTTATATTCATCAGCTATATTTTTTGATTTTTTGAAGTTAGATAAGTGGATTTTTGGATTCTGAATTTGCTAATTGAAATTTGTCTGTTTTTAATATCAATTATAAAAGATTATTTATTTCTCAATAAATATTATTTTTGCTTTATTCATCCTCTGATCTATCACAAGCTGATAAAATAAAAATCCTTCTTGAGTTATTTGAACCTATTAATATATCAATTTTTTTTACATTCTTGAGTTAAATCTAAGTGTTAACAATGAAATTAAAATACATAATATTTTATTTACACAATAAATGATAGAACCTGCATTTTTTAATTTTCCAAAATACTTTAAGCAATATAGTCAATATATCTGACCATTATACAATTAGTATTGTAGAAGTGAAAAATGTTGAAATTATATGGTTTATGAAATTTTTCTATTTTATTATTTGTAAGAAAAAAGAGATTACTAACATCTAATTCAACCATTCTAAGTTGCTTCTCTCATCATATCCGCTCAAGTTCAGTGTATTAACATCAAATCTCAGCTTTGTGAATACTTACGGATATGAAAATTATTAAATAGAAAGGATATTTCCTCTTATTTTTTATTAAGTGTCATACAAGGAATGTGTTATTTAATTATAATTTATATATTAATATGTTAAAAATAATCATCGTTGGCTTTTTTTGAAAGGCATACTTGTTGGTCTTTCTAGATGACATCGCACCCGCTCTAAACCCCTTCCCTTCATTTTCCATACAAGATTGGGCTAGAAAGAAGAAGTTCCGAATGCTCACTTTATGACATAATCAAGAATTTAATATTAAAAAATTTTTCAAATAGTTTCTCCAAAGTGAACCAATTCTTTTGATGCTTTTTGTTATTAATTTTTATTTAAATGCAGAAGTTTTCTCAGGCCATCAATGATTATGCCAAAATTCAGTAAAGCAATACGCAAAAGAATTAATGAATTTTTAGTCAAATCGTCAGGAATCTCTGGAAATATTATATTCCAACCAAAAAATTCGAAACATTTGTATTTCATTATTTTAGATTTTAATGATTAAACAAAATTAAACTAGGATTTCAAGTATATAAATCAATTAATGATAAACTTTTAATCAAAACTAATAAGATTAATGGTTTTATAGAGTCTTTCCACTTATAGGATAGCGATAGAATTATTTATAATCTGCAATTCATAAAAATGAAGATAAAATGCATAAAGGATTTTTTATACAAAATTTTTTAGGTTGTTTTCCATTAAAAAACATAAATTTATGTTTACTAAAAATATTGTTTCAAAACATGTATAATGTGTTCAATATAGAATAATTTCTTTAATCTTAAGAATCATCTATATATATATGCCTAAGAATATGTTTAAAAGGTTTTAATTTTATTAATCAGAAATGAATTCTGCTCAAGCACCTTATCTTAACGAAATCTACCCAAAATTGAAGCTGATGAGCAGAAATCAGTTTATTAATTGTAGGATAGATCAATAAATAGAGACTTAATTCTTCAAATAAAGAATCAATTCTACATCTAAAAGAATAAATTAATAGTTTATTTTGTTAATGCTGTGGAAATTCCACTTCTCATGGAAATTAATTTTTATCTTATAGAATTATTAATTAAATATAAAAAACAAAATCTCATTAAATAATTTACATTTTATAGTATGTTAATTAGATAAAGAGTTGAATGAACACTGCTTAATTGAATCTAAGCAGGTATAAAAGCTAATACTCTCTTTATAAGCTGATATTATGAATCAATAGTTTTTCTCTAGATAAACACAAATTATTTAATCAAGATAGTACATAGAATTTATCTTCAATTCGATAAGGTGCTTTAATCATACAAATTATACATTTGATATTTTATGAAGTATTACCTTAACAATAATTGGTTTAAAAGTTATAAAAGTTTAAAAGTAGAATTGATCATGTTAAATTCCTTCAAAAAATTTATTTAATTCATATTTATCATCTCCTCCTTGTTATGTTTAATTTTTAATAAAATCTCTAGAATTTATTATTATAAATTTAATAAATTACATTTTGAAATAATTTTGTATCTTCTAATTTTATTATTTATAAATTTACTTTAAATATGTTTTATAGAAGGTAAGAAAGTCTTGAGATTATAAAAGATTGTTGTATTAGGTTACTGCTACTGGTTTGTTTATTCTTAAGTATTGCTCTTTTATTACTTAAGCAGTGATATGAAGTTCTAATTGTAGTTTTATTAAAGCATGGTCAGAAATATTCGTCTAAAATATTTTAATATTATATGAAATTAATCTAATTATTAATAAATGATCAATTTTAGAAGAGGTTTATTAATCAAGATTTATCTTTTTAAAACTATTTTATCCTATGGGAGATTGCATTATTTAAATCATCACAAAGTATCATTATTTAGTTTAGCTCAATATCTATAATATCAATTATTCTTATTATCTTTTATTTCATTTAAATACTTAGGAGTTATTAAAATAAATGTTAATTAGAATCATGACTAATATAATTGACTGCTCAATTATTAAGATATCCATGGAGTCTTCACAACTAGGCAGTGAGAAATTACCTATGAATGGAAATCTTTATATGTACTTGTAATTACTCAACCTTATTATGTAGAGTTTGTTCCTTTATAATAACATTTATAATGAATTGATTCATTTATTTAGTTAGGCATTTCTTCTTCTAGACTGATAAAGTGAGCATTTTGTGTCTTTATTCATGAGCAATTTCAGTTCTTAAAGAACTTATATTCCATACTTTCCTCCCTATTAATATTTTTCTTTTCTATTATGATTTGGCTCTTTTCCTTTTTGATATTGTTTTTTATTTTTTTTGATATTTTCATAAAGATTTATATCGTCCCTTTCATGATTATTTGCTAAAATATTGTTCTTAATATGAATCTTCTTAACTTTCTGAACTATTAGGAACTTTTTCATAATTTGTTTGATTACTAACGTTTTTTAATCTAGAATATTGTTATGAATTTATTATTTTGAAGTTTATATTATTTTCTTCTTATTGGAAGATATAATACTTTTTGAGTTTTTTGTGGCAATTATTTTCTGGCTTATTTATTATTCTTCTTTTGAAGTGATGAAAATTATCTATATTTATAGAAGAAACTGAAGATTAGTTATTTCTATCATCCTTAATGTACAAATCTTTATTTTTGAATGATATATGATAACGAATTTTTCATATATTTTACTTATAAAGTGAATAATTGTTTAATTATGCTTTCCTATTTCAAGCTATTTTAAAACATTTAGAACAGTCCTTCATTATTAAGTGTTAAAAGAGCTTAAACAATATCATTTCTTAGTTGATTTTCATCAATACCTAATAGTTGTATATCCGGATTAACTTAAATCTTTTGTAAATTCATTTTCTCTTTCTTATTATAATATGACTATTATTTTTCCATCTCTTTATATATCATTTCTTCATAAAATTTAATCAAATTGTTCAATCGAAATTTAAGCATATTTGCAATTTCTAAAAGCCAATGTGTTGTATAGAATTGTTCAGATGATTTAATCATTGATTTTTTAGCTGAATGTTTGTCAGCTATTATTCTAAAGTATTAAATTTTGGTGTATATTATCCATATATTAAACTTTTTATTATTTATAATTGTAATATAAATTGAATTCTTGTTCAATTCATAATAATTTATGAAGAAATTTCGCTTTCCTTCCAAAGCTAAAAATGATTATTTTATTTTTTCATATAATAAATACGCTTAACTAAGCGAAAGGAGTTTTATGGAATGTATAATTTAACTTATTTCGATTAATAATTTATGTTATGATTATAACATCGAAAATGGCAAATAGTAACAATATTATGTTTTGCGAAGGTGATTTAGATACGAGTTATGTGAAGTATAACTTTATTCATTCTTAAAAACTACTTTTAATTTAACAAGTAAGTTTACCAACTAAACATCTATTTGAAAAAATTTTGGAATAAGCATTAAACAGCTTAAATATAAACCAAAATAACAAATATATATGATTAATTTAACAATAAATTTATATTAAAACATGATTATGCTTTATTCCAATTTAAGATGAAAAATTTTAAGAAGAAAGAAATCTAACCAGTTTCTAAATATATTGTGATCAATTAGTATCCAAGACTAGATTGACCAAAATTATTAAGAAAAAAACTCTCAATTAAAAGATAGAATTTTTGTTTGAAATATAAAGGTCAATATATTGCAATTTATTTTGGATTTCTATATTTAATTTGAAAATACTCATTCTTTTTAGGAAAAATTTAATATTATCAGGTGCATAGGTTGAAATAAAATTTGATTGATCTTAAAATATGGGTCACATCCCATATGTGTAGTTAAAATATATTTTATCAGAGATATCTTTGTAAATAGAGTCTCTATCAATCTATTAAACTCATCGTTGATAATAGCAATTTATAGAAAATTTAGTATTAATTTTTGAGATAATGAATTCTACTTACCGTCCATCAAGTCAAATAACTTCTATTTGCGCGGCTTCTCATAATAATACAGGAAACTTTTAGTAAATGTTAAAGAAGTAATTCCTCTAAATAATATCCAAAATTAGCAACCATGAAATTGTAAGAAAAAAAGCTTGAGCCATCAGAATTAACAAAATAGTAAATAAATTTTAAATCACTCCACTCTTAAACCAGAAGCATTTATAAAATATGTGAAATAAATTATTAATATCAAATATTTAGATATTATTGTTGATATGTAAAACTATTTATATTATAAAAAAATACTAACTCCCTAACATAATTATCATATTCTGACTTAGATAAAATAAAGAAAGAAATTGTTTAAGGAAAAATAATATGAGATTTGAATAAAAAGTAAAATTATTATTTGACCTAGTCGAAAAACTTATAATTGGTGGAAATAAGAAGTTAAAGGTTTTAGTGAATAAAGGTGAGAAAATAATGAAAAATCATTTGATACAGTAAGTACTTAAATCTTATTCTATGGGTCAACCAGGTTATCAAGGAAATTAAAAAAATTATATGAGATTTTAAATTCTAAATTACTTGAAGATATATAACTATCTCAATTGATTATTAAAATGATTTCAAAATATTTTTTTATTTTTAATAGCAATAAAGATAAGCATCTAGAATAATAATATTTTAAATAGTTCAAGATTTATTATCGAAAATATTTAGGAACTTGAATTTAATAATAAAACTTATCAATTCAGGATTATTAAGAGAGATTAGAAAAACTCTAATTAAAAGATATAAATAAATGAAACCATTAGGGAATTCTTAAATATCAAATTCATAAGACAGCCTTATATAATGAATTCATCTAGTTTGGATCAAATTCATTTAATATATTTGAGAGAAAAATTGTTGAGAATTTTAGAATTAAGGATGCTTTATTGATTGGTGGAAATTTGATTATATGCAATCTCAGTGAATCTTAATTTCAAAATGTAGACATTAGTGGAGTCAACTGTTACGTAGCTATGTTATTCAGAATGGAAAAACTTTAAAATCAAAAGTTAATATAAATTAGATGATTATAGCAATTATTTCAATTCCATTTGCTTCTATCTTGATGGTAGACAATATCATCTGGGCGTGGAAATAAATTAGCATTTCTAAGTATTGATAATTTTCATGTTTTATGGGCTGTTAAGACAGGACTATAAAAAGCAAAATTAGATGGTCATTCAAGTAATGTTAATTCAATCTGTTTCTTTCCTGATGGTACTAAATTAGAATCTGGTAGTTCAGATATTTCTATGCGTTTATGAGAAACTAAAATAGGATAATAATAAGCCAAATTAGATGGCCATATTAAATAAGTCCTTCCAGCCTGCTTCTCAAAAAATCCTACTATAACATCTAGTTATTATCGATACCTCAATTTATATGTGGGATGCTAAGACACAAAAGATATTTAACCATTAGATAAATATCATTTAGATATTATCTTCTTCCCTACAACTTTGCCTTAAAATAATTCATTATTTCAATAATATTTATTTTTAATTATATTTAGCTACCTCCAATATTGTGATTCTTCTTATTTATCAATAACTAATAAGTTAGCCATAGGGGCTTGGATCTTAGATGAAAATTTAAAAACCAATTTAGTGTAGATTTACAAATAATCCTTTTTCCTGAGATTTTCATAATTATAATAAAGATAATTAAAGCTATTGAAAAATAAAATAAATCTTCTTTCTCCTGATACTGAAACTGTTTGATTTTAAAAGTTTAAAATAGTGGTTTATCTTTATAAGTTTTATGACTGGTTGATCTCTACTTCTAATAAGATGACAAAACCATCATTAGTTCAAGACGATACTGTTATACTATAAAATGAGAAGAAAATTAATTTAATCATCAAACTTTGAAAAAACACTATGTACCTTCTGAATTTTTAGTTAATTAATCTTTTACATATATTGAATATTGGTTGTTTGCTGTAATGTTATATCTGCATGTCTTTACAATATTTAAATAATGCTCTTGTAATCAATTTTTATAGTTTTAAGCTCTTTGATTTACCAATATCAATCAACGAATTTGATGAATACTTTCTTAATTCGGATTGATAGTCTCCAAGATTAGAAGTACTGAGTTAGAAATTGGAAAACCTTATCGTTAATCTTATCAGTGTAAAGATAAATAAATAGTGAAAGGTTATAAATATAATGGTGCATTATTATTTAAATTAGCTCTTGTTTGATTGAAACACATTCTTTTATAAAGTGTTTAATATAATTATTAATCATTTTATTTAATAAGTTTCATTTGAAATGGAGGAATCTGATTAAGTTATGCGCTTAAAAATTAAAGCATCCTACTTATTTTATTTAGTCTTCGTTCAATAGAATTGAGGATTGCATTGATGGAATATAGAATTAGGTTAAAACAATATATGTTTTGTAATCAGAAGAACAACTATTTATAAATTGAATGGAACTTGTTTGCCAAAAGTGCAAAATGAACAATTTAGTAATGAACTAAGTCAAAAAGTAACATAGGTTGTCTCCTTAAATGTCAACAATCAACTAAAGAAACAAGAGGAAATCCTAATTGAAGAATAACAGAAATAATAAGCTCAATATCAAGAACTGTATAAAAAACATAACGAGGAAATTAATAAAAAACAATAATTAGAAATCTAAATTAGAAACTAGAATAATGAAGTTCAATAACTAAAAGAGAAATCAATTTAAGAATAAATGTAGTAAGAAGCTCGATACCAAGAAATTAGTCAAAAAATAATGACAAAATTAATAAGAAACAATAATTGGAAACCTAAATTAGAAACCAGAATAATGAAATTCAATAACTAAAGGTGAAATCAATTTAACAATAAAAATATTAAGAAGAGAGATACCAAGAACTTAGTCAAAAACATAATGAGCAGATTAATAAATTACTTAATTGGAATAGGAAATTAAAAAGAAGGATGATCGCATTAATTAAGAAAATCGAACAAGTTAAGAAAATAATTAGAAAATAAAAGATCTTAATAATTAAATATCTACATAATCAAAGAAAATTAGGGAACTTTAATAATAACTAGAAGAAATCAAATATTATTCTAAATGATTAACTTTTTCAGCAGAGTTTAAATAATAATATGTTTAATTATAAGAAAATGGAAAAAAGCATTTGCCCCTGATAATATATGGTAGGTTTGTGTTTGCGATCAACCTATTCCAAATTAAAGCGTGATGACATTTAAATTTCAAATTCTGCAAATGCACTAGTTTTATTCTGGTATCTGCTTTAGAGATATTATTTCAAAAGATTTTAATGGATATGTTTCAAAAATTGGTCATGGGTATTATATGAAACTATATAAGATACTATTTGATGTGTAAGGATGGTTTTGTGTATTCTCATCATGACAATGAAAAAATGGAAAACCTTTAGGATTCAAATATGCAGTAAATGATATTATAGATATAATAGTTGACCTGAAGAAGTCAATAATCTAATGGTAAAACCAAGTGAAAAATTTATCTTATGTAATTTCGATATGCACTAATTTTTTAGACTTTAAACATTGAAAAGAATTCTGAATTATACTCTTGTTTTAGAATAGCTTCATCAAAAGTTTTATTAATCGAACGCTGATTGGATTGAGATATCGTTACATTTATAACAAAAAAACTAAAATTTGTTCTTTATCGTTATTTTAGTTCAAAAAATTTAATTTACATAATAGAAAGTATTTTAACAGCACATTAACACTAAATTAATATACTCCTAAAATAATTATAGTAAATTGCTATTGAAAAAGGATGCTGAATATAAGTAAAAAATTTTAAATCTCTTATTAAATTTCTCGATTAATATCAATCTCTCCATTGAAGCAAGATCCTAAAATTGAAGGTATATGGATGTAAGTCTACATTTAAGAATTCTATAAAGATCCGCCCTAAAAAATAGACAAAAGGTTTGTAGCATTTTTTGTAAGGGGAGAAGAGCGAATATCTGATGCAAAAGAGACACCTAAGTTCCATAAAATTGTCTCTAGTTTGATTTGGAAACCTTTTTACTCATATAATAAATGATAATTATTCATCACATTTGAATTAAGAAAATTTTTTAAAATCATTATAAAACTTCAATTGCCAATAAT